AGCCCTGCTGGTTATTATTAGATCTCGGTATACATATGCAAATTATCATAAATTAGCGTTTTAAAGATTAAAACTTACATGTAAAAAAAAGGAATTTACTTTTGTAGCACGTTTTGATGAGACATTTACGAAAGCAAAACCCATCCTACGCAGTTTACCCTTTTGCAGCGGATCCCTTTGCGTGATCAAGTTTTTTTGTTTTTAAAACAGCAGTGCAGCTGAAACATTAATCACTTCCACTTGCAAGGATTTCAACGGTAGCAGACGAAAACAAAAGCGATTTTACGGTTCCAGAAAATCTCTGGATGGGCTTAAAAATTTCAGGTATTCAAGAAATATTGTAAGGTATATATTGCGAATTATGTTTCAGCTAAAATAAGTAGGATAATTGAATATCACGATGAAGCGAGGATTTTATTTCAACGTGCATGTAGCATATCAACATGGCAAAGAAATGAAACGGCTTTTGCACTCTTTATTACTGTCTTAGTTCGAAAGGCAAAATAATGTAGAAACAAAGAAACTGAAAGATTGTTTGTATCTGCTCGTTTTGTTGTGCAAATATGAATGTTTTCTTTTATATTAAATATTCGGTTTTATTGCTTGAGACGGAGTGAACACGCAGAGCCTTTGTGCAAAGTTGATAGTTTTAAACAGTCTGGCCATAAAGCTCACGAAAATCACAAATTTTAGGTAAGTTCGCCAGTAGATTGAAATAGATTTATCTTTTAAAGAGTACTGTTCAAAATCGAAATTATTCAAAATGATCTTTTGCGACTGACAGCTCTGATATTTTTCCTCATTCCCTATACACATCGGAGAAGGCTCAAATTTTATTTACTTATACAAAAGAACATGGTTTGGGTTTTTTCGAGTTCCATCTCTGGATATTCTTCAGTTTAAACTAGGCGCATCGGAGATGAAACTTCACTAATGTTCTCTCATGTAGACAGTTTTTCGCGGTACGGGAAACATTATACAGTACTTTGGGCGACAGTCGGTGTTGATTTTCATCACGAGGATTACAACGACTCCCTGAATAAGAGGAAGAATAATAACCGACTGTGCACTTTGCGTTGTAAATTTTGGCAAATCTTGTGGAGTTCGCTGCACTGACTACATCAAACTGAAACAAGGTGCGCAGCTTTTTTTTTCGCAATTGTATCTCGTTCTCTTTATATATTGATTGGAAATTTTTTTTATAAAGATGACTGCATGACGTCGAATGAAAGAGCGAAGAGTGAATTCGTGTTTCAAAGGGTCCTTAGATCGCCATGGCGTAGCTGTTGACATTAGCCGTCAACGTCCCTGAAAATTGAAAATGTAGCGTAAATGCTGATCCGATCCTTAGACTCTGGAATAATTTTCTTCTTTCCTCGGATAGTTTCTGAAATGAGGGATTTACGGTCACTTAGTCTTTAGTTCCATGGTCTTTTCATTCGAGGTCAGTTCCTTCCAAATTTCGGTTAGATCGTTTCGATATACAGTCACCTCGTTCCACTACGAAGTGATATCGATCCAATTCTGATATTACGAACTTTCTTGCTAGAATTCGAAGAGGGATTTTCTTTTAACACTCATCAGAGAATCGGAGTGTCATAATTGCCTACTCGTGCATTATAATAATCATCATTTGAATATGAGAGCGAACTTCACTACTTGAGCAGTAGTGAAAATAAGGCCTGAAAAAAAAACCAAAAACAGAAAAATTCAGGCTTGCAATAAACCCGTGAAGTGATGAATAAATAACTGAAAATCAAGAAGCGTTCATAAAGATCGCTTTCATAATCACGTCTTTATCTGTAGTATTTATTCAGGTGTATTTGAAATCAAAGAACTCAGCTCCCAGTTGGCTTGTTAGCTCAGTTGGTAGAAAACTGCACCGGTATCACCGGGGTTCAAATCCCAGACAGGCCTGAATTTTTTTTTTTTTTCAGGCCTTATTTTCCCTGTTGCTCAATCACGTCTTTATCCGCATTACACATAAATGTTTTTCATATATTCACAGTTATTTAATGATCATCGTATTCATCTACACGCAGCTGTAACGTGTTTTCGGACCTGTGCTTGCCCGATGTTGTGTGGAGTTGAAATGCTGAACTATCTATAAAGGTCTTACGTAATTTTTTTACATAAAGCTCTTTGTAATGTACTAATTCGGAAAGTTTCTGTGTCCGACTCTCTTAGATCGTTTTTGGCGAATGAAACTTTTTTGTGGTAAGATGAGACTTCGCAGTGGAACAATGTGACGTAGTTTTGAAGTGAACTGTCTTGGAACGAAATGGCCGAAAGGAGAATGGGTATTAGGGAATGAGAAATGATGAATGGGGAATTAGGGATGGAAAAGGAAATCGGGAATGGAAAACCAGGAACGGAAAATGGGCACAGCGGATAGGGAACGGAAAAAGTAGAACCGGAAAATAAGGATCGGAAAATAGAAAACGGAAAGTAAGGGAACTGGGAATGGGAAAATTCCGCATTATCTGTTTAAGTAACATCTCCTTAGTTACGCTTCTTCAGAAATGTCAGATAAGAATTCATTTCTGGCAAAGTCGCATATAATTCCAGCAGTAGTTTCTAGGCTTCTATTTTGGCGTAGTTAACTCTTGCTCAAGGACGCATCCAAAGTCGTTATCCACGACTCGATAGTGGTGGAGAAGTGAAAAAACGGTGGAGGTTTGGGTCGGGTCTCGACCCAAACCTCTGTCGCTATCACTCCTCCGTTACCATTGTACCGTTTATAAAATCGCTCCCTTTCACCGACCAAGCGCCTGGAACAGGCTGATAGATGACATCATTTCCTCATCTTAAATGTTAGTTTTTTACCTCAAAATGTGGATCTTACGATATGATAATCAGACACCCGGTCGAATTTAAATTTAACCGTACATTAAGGATAGAGAGAACAAAGTATTCTGTGGGTACAAATAGGATTGTTTGTTTTTTTAAATTAATCAGCTTGGGCTCTTAGTATCTATGTTTTTTTTTTCTGGCAATAGAAACTCAATCATTATGTTACGGTGTAAGTAAAACTCAGAAAAATAGAGCCTGGTGCCAGTCTCATTACTGTAACTGCGACGTGGTTAGAAGCGGTAACATTAGTAACTCAGAAAAGGAAAATTGAAAAAGGTTTTTTCCTCATGAGTCAAGTGTCATATCAATGTTGTTAATGATGGAACGTGAGTTGGCACAAAATGAGAAGTGACAGAATATAGAAGGCAATATTAATTTCCCGCGAGAGGCATATTTCACATGACAGCAAGATGATTGAAAAATTAAAAATTTTTAATTACCAGTGTTTTTCAAGTGCAAGATAGTTGTATCTTCTTTTTATATTAGCTGGGAGGGAGAGGTCAAACTACACGAAGCTTTACTACTTAATACCTTCTGTATAATGATATACAAGTGTATAGCAGATGTTTTTGTAGCTATTGAGGAGAATGCACGCTAGATAAGATAGATAGGAACTATAATTTTTAGTTACATTACTAATTCTTGGTTGGTAACTTTGATCAGGATCTGATATTCATATTTTTCCACTTTGATGTCGAGTTATTATTACTAAATTGAACACAATACGGGTTACTACATTAACTAACCTTTAAAACACAAACAAATATGAAAAATTTTTAATAGAATGACCAACAACAGAAGGAAATTATCAGTCAAAGTAAGTCAACGTTCAAATAGTCAAATTTTCACCAACCCGAAATAATATTGCATTGCGTTTTAATTAAAATGTGAGACGCAAATGTCACCCACTTTGTTTGGCCTCCATAATTTCAAAGACAGTACAATAAATAGCACCACTTAATATTTGACGATTCTATTTCAAGATACAGCCTCCACTGTCTGAGCAACATCGATACACTATTAAACCTCACCGGATGAATAGAATGTCTCGTCACCTGAATGTTACCGAGCAGGCCAACTTGACAAACCTGAAGTAAGAACTTTTTTGCGAGTATAGCCCTATTCTCGTTATTTTTCATCTTTTTAAGTGTGATTTTCGCATCAGTGTTATGAGACGGCAAGCAGTTTGCCTCGCAGTTCTGGCTGCGCTATCTGAATGACTAAAAACGGCCGTTTTAAGATCGGTCCTTGGTATTTGCTCCAAATTAAAGAAACTTCTTTGCGGTTTTGTTCACGAAAGAACGGTTTACTGTTTTCGTTTTTCGCTTGTCCAGCCTAAAGGTCTCGTTATCCCGGTCCCCTGTTTAACTGAATCGCAGCCTCGGCGATTTTCCGATCCATAGCTTTTTTTTTTTCAATAGTTGTCTGATGAAAATTTTTGGGCCTAATTTGCGGTTCCTGATGAGACCCTAGGGTTTTTATTTCTGGCGACCATCATCGATCGATTGAGCTTCATGCTAATTTAGCTTTGTTTTTGTTTGACGAGTTTCAGCCATCCTTTAAAAATGGGTTTCGTTTTAAGTGATATATAATTAAGACTGGTTTAATTAATTTCCTACACAAGCCTGGGCCACCTGTCTCAAAGAACTAACCAAATTTTGCCTTTCTGTTTGGGTTCAGGATGTTGGACAACTCAGGAAAACCTCAATGGTTTACTGTCCTGGGCTGGCTTCTGACTGCCCTCGCTTTCACAGGCAATATCTTCATCATCATTTTAATTGCTTCGAAAACACGCCTTCAGTGCATTACCAATTGGTTTCTTTTGTCTTTGTCCGTGGCAGATCTTGGAGTAAGCTTGAGTTTATATCCTGGTTTATACTTCTGTTTACCTAACGTTGAGAACGGATGCCATCACATTTTGCTTGCCATCTTTCAGTGGGTATTCTTGTACGCATCTGTGACCAATCTATCCGTGTTGGCATTGGACCGCTACATGGCGATAGTCAAACCCTTTGTTTATGCCAGTTTCATGTCAAAAAACTGTGTTTTGGCGTTCATCAGCATGGCCTGGATTCTACCGTTCGTGGCCGGTTTTGTACCTTTAACTCTTATACAAACGAAAGACGGTATAAGGTACTTTACCTTTGTAGCGGCGATCGTTTTCGAGCTCATTCCCTGGGTAAGCTTGCTGCTAACCACGATACAGTTGCTTTTTATCGCCAGAAAACATGTCCGCGAGCGGTCTGCAGTTGTGAAACAGCTACGCTACAATGACTCCACTACAACAGGAACTGAAAACACGCCGCCCTTGCGCCAAGGAAACAGGGCTCGAAACTCCATCGCTTTCATCGTTTTTGTGGTGACATTTTACATTCTCTGTTACTCCCTAACTTCTGTTAAGAGCATGTGTCAGTTTTTGCCGTTTTGTCCAACTCCTTCAAAGAACGTGGAACAGGTGCAACAATTACTGCTGATTGCAAACTCTGCGTTCAACCCCCTCGTTTATGGATTACTCAAACAGGACATTAAGCGGGAAATAAGCAAGCTTGTACACTGTGGTTGCTTCAAAAGACAGCTCTCTTCATTTCAAATGGAACAGAGATGCTGATAACTTCAGAAATACAATGCACAGGCGTAAGCAGATCTGAAATTTTCCAAGAAACAAATCGAAGAGCTTCCTTCTTCATTCCAACCTCGCCCGAACATTTCAAAACCTTTCGGACAAAAGAAAAGGAGCTCAAAATGACGGAACCATACGGAACTCAATGTAAAGAACAGATCAGTCTAAAAAAATTAATGATTTATTTATTCTGGTCTATTTCCCTTTATTTATGTAAGTAATTATTGTACAGTGGTAAAACTTTCGCCAATCTTTGATAATAACGAAAAAATATATGTAACTGATTTCAATCGATTTTTCCATCGTAATTGTAAATGTTGTAAAATTGTAGAAGTATATTATAGAATATTTAAATAATCTTTGAATACTTAACCTTGTTTGAAAACATATCAGTGAAGCCTTTTAGTTTTAACTAGACTTGTCACTCAAGCAGCTTTCCTTATTTCATGGTTGGGAATATCTGTGTGTGAAGACTGTAGAATTAAATGAACTGAAAACAATGCAGATGCTCAAATTTTCCCTGCTAATTGCAATGCTACCCTATCTTGGTAAATAACACATAAATTATCAGCGTTTCCCAATCAATTTCCATGCTAATGATTTACACCTATGAGAAGAATGAAGGCGGAGTTCGAAAGTTTATTTTGATTTTTCTAAACCTAAAAGCGTTCTGCAACAACAGGAAACAAAACTTTTACTTTGATAGAGAGAAATCCCTTCCTTTTCAGTTATTTCCTGAAAAACTGACATTTCCGTCTGAGGATCACAAGCAGCAGAGTGCTTTATTATACTTAGTCATGCTGCTCAATTCGGATCTTCCATCGACTGTATATGTTATTATCTTCCTCCGTTTTTCAGCGAAAGTTATTTGGCTGAACTATGTAAAGCAGGGCGTGAAATTGCGCCTGATACAGGCGCCAATGCGACTAAATTTTTTCACTTTGGCGACCAAATCCTGAAAATTAGTCGCCAAATTGGCGACTAGAATGCTTCATCATATCCTTAGAAAGATAAAGCCGCTGCAAACTTCCCCGTTAAGTTTGTTTCCAAAACACGCAGCACATACATCTAAATCGATGACTAGACGCCATCTTGGATTTAGGTGAGCTTGAACGTTGTATATTATCCATCATAGAGTCCAATTTGTAGCACGTTAAAGATCTTTTTCCTAACTTAATTTTGGAGGGTCTATCTAGAACGCTAACGGCTAAAAAAAGTTTTTGTTTGTCTTTGAAAATGGCGACCTTTTTTTTTTTAATTGGCTACCACCTTGAAGAATTTAGGAGCCAAAAAAAAAAAAATTAATTTCACGCCCTGTAAAGGCTGCGAATGACCTCAGCCTAAGGATATTTAGTCGAAGAAAATTGGTGTGTCGCGTTTCATTGGCGTTTGAACAAAATCGAAAGAAGCAAAATAATGAAACGGCGTCTTTGTCAATTACCATGCATGGAACTTGTTTTTCGTGTCTTCTCTTACATTAAACAACTTAAAGTCACCTTCTACGAATGAAACTGACCCTCTAACCGATGACAAACATTTCCATATGAAAACACGTCAACCATTCCTTTGTGCGGAAATATTTCAAAAGAAAATGTGTCAATATTTTACAGTTTTTTTCAAGACCGATTGAAATTTCCAATTTAGGCAATGGAGAACGGGATTTTAAACAATTATCTGCTGTCTTCTTTTAGCAAACGAAAAACGGAAATACAATTATCATATACAGGGGAATTGATCAGAAATTTCCATCCTAGAACACTGATTTGCATCAAAGTTCAGTCGTGCGGAGTATCATTCGACCTCAGCCTTTCAGCTACAGCTTTTGCCATAAAGAATGCTTGCATTTTTGGTTAAAATGAAAAAGTGAATCATATTTGTGACGGATTTTTTTTTAGTCACATCACCTACACTAATGTTGATTATGTAAGCAGTAAGAGTGAAGGTAGTAAATCGTCTGTTTTCGTTTTCCTACATAACCGAAGTCTCTGCTTAAAAGAACTTTACTCTTCATTTCTAAAAGATCCCTTTGTCTGTTACCCCATTACCGAACATTTTTCTTCGTTTCAGTTTTACCGTCTTACACTGACAGATACATTATGACCCCAGTATATCTTTTTTTAGGCGCAATACACGCATCATCATGTGCGTTACAATAATACGTACACGTAAAAGCCTCTACGTAACTTGCCTAAGGTCAGCGGGAGATGGCCTCTACTGATATACCTTGCATGAATAATTGTCTCTCCAGAGAGAAACATAGCGTGAGTTACGTGGTGAAAATCTCTCTGCGGTTCAAGGATACAGCATTGAAGGTTACTGTGGCCTCAAAGCTCCCCCAAAGTCAAAACCTCAAAGAAGCGAAAATTCAGAACTCCAGACAGCCATATAAATAAATTTGGTCTAAAATCGCTTAGATCAGTGACAAAATTCTGCAGTGACATCCTAGCCACGTTGATAAGTGACGTAAAATTTCGGTAGTAATTCAATTATGAGGCTTGTCCAAAATCCAAAAATGGCACCCTCACTACGTCTGTAGACTAATCTTTTAATATTACTGAGTATTACTCTTTATCCAGATTGCGCAACCACAAAACATTTCGGAAGCAAGGTACGGTATCGGACCAGTTTCTAGAAAGATGGAATTTCTATCACCTAACCTACAGTTCTTAAAGCTCGGGTTGACAACGTGCGTGTATTACGTGCACTCCAAAGCAGCAAATTTGTTATTATTTAATGACAATGGCCATTCTTTTCGACCTTTTTATCCTGATGATAAGAATAATTTTCGTCTTTTATCTCCACGGAAACTAAAAATTACCGGCGGATGTCTTGGAAACAAAAATGTTTGTTTGAGATGAGTTGCAACATCGCTATCCGGAAAGCTCAATGCATTTGTATTATCATGCAAAAAAATTATCGTATGTTTGATTCTAAGATTAAATTAATTCCTCTGTTCTTTACTTCTGTCTCAATGCGAAATCTTGTCTCAAGCTTCTCAGACTTCGAAAACAAAGATCATCGCTCCATAAAGGCGCAGTAGAGATCGGTCATAGCTACGGCTTTGCAAATTAGTTCAGTGATGCTTTGGTACTTCAATAAACAACCACTCCCTTAAATTCTATTTTTTACTTCAAAAACAGAGATAAAAACCAGAAACAATCCCATATAAAACGTTTCAAGTAGCATCCTGTGGTAGTAAATTCCTTTACTGAAGGAAATAACTCAACTCAGATATGTTAAGAGGCAAGGATCTGTTTTATATAGGTTGGTCTATCTTTTAAGTCTACCGCCAGGTTTAAAAATTACGCGCTTCTGAAATTTTTTCACGTAAGAACATCTCTTAAAACAAGAAAAGACAAAATTCCTTAAATGGTAAATCAAACTTTGGAAATTTTGCCTCAAAAAAGAACTGAAGAACATCTAAACGTTGTCACTGATCGTGGCTATCAAAGCCAGTCATAGCATCGTTTCGAGAAAGGATAAATGAAGGTTTTTGCACCTTTTTTAGTTGCAGTAGGCTACACATTTTTGTAGTGTTACCAAGGACATGTTTTTCTTCCTTTGTTTTCATGTTTTCATCATTGCGAAATGTTTTCAGTAATTATTGCGATGACGTTTCTTGACCTTGTAGATCCACACGCCCTCATGATATCATCCCACAATATTTTGATACGGCATTTATTGACCGCTCTCGGTTAGCAACCCTGTCATTGTTACTAAGGTGGAAATGGTATATAAATGCGATCACGAAGCAGCAGAAGGTCACAATTTCCAGCTGGTTTGAAAAAGCTACACTGAACTAAGAGAGGAAGATGGCCGTTTTCTTGTTCCTGTTGATAACCGTCTGTTCGGTGACCTCTTCCTTCGCCTGTTTCTGTATGCCGGAACATCCTCAAAAACAATTCTGTAACGCTGGTGGATTCGGTAAGTTCATCTTTTCAAGTAATTTGTGCTTATTTGGCCCAGTATTCAGCCGGTTCATTTCCACGGGCGAATTCTCTGCTCTGTTAGTTGATAGAAGGACACGATTCAAATAATCCTAATTTATGCTCGTGGTAACATACATATAGTCTTTTCGGAAATTATTGTAAAACGTTTTAGCTGTAAATGTTTTATAAACATGACAACAGCGATTGTTTGATGCTTTAAATCTATGTCAAGCTCAGTCAAGTCAAGCTAAATCTGACAAGTTTCATTCCAACATTTTGAACAAAATTCATGCACAGGGATTCACCAGAACATTCTGTTTTTAGATTGAGCCAAAAACCAAAAAAGAGTATTTGTTTACTCACAAGAAGAGCTGAAAAATGAAAATGAAATGTACTACATTGTACATTTGATACCGTCTATGTTGCATGAATGGGTATTTTCCTTTCTCTGTTTTCCTGCGAATGTCGAAAGATTTGTTCGATGATATTGGAACATTTATCTGTGACTGTTTGACATCCACGGATGACCTCTGTTACGAGAAGTTTACATATGCGGCTATAATTACAAGTGTCTTTAGATCCAATTCTAAAACTTCCGTCCGTATATGCCAAAAATAACTTCATGAGGTCGATATACTACATTCCATGAAAGTTACTCTTCTTGGGCGGGGCAGCGCAATGACAAGATCTTGCCTTAAACAGGGTCTCAGTTTGCATGCCTTCGGCAGAATACCTCCACTCACACTTCTTCTAAGTGCTACCCTCGGAACTTTACGCTTGAGTTACGGTAACAAGAAATTGCTATTAGACTCCTTCATGACATTTTGCCCTAACATGAGAGCGTTTCTATCACCTTCGCATATCTTAAAATATTGGTGTTCCAACCAGGGTGAGCTTTAACATTCCCAACAGCTTCAAGCACAGAAACCAGGTAGAGCTTCGGTTGAAGTTGCAACTTTTTTTTGGAGTGTAAACTTAACTTTCTTACCCTCTCTCACAAGTGTTGTTTTTTGCTTCGTTAGTTTTGCGCGCTAAGGTCGTGGGTCCATCAATAAGAGCTGCCATGCCAAATAGAGGCGGAAATTATCAAGTCTACTGGTTAAGAATTACCTCCATCTTTAAAGGCCATGCAAACGTGCAAAACAAGTCATTGACCAAGCTATACACACCTTCTCGAATCTCGTCGTGTAGAGTGCAGCTCCAGCCTTATACCGAATACCTCCTTTTCGGAAAGATTTTAGACGGAAATCTGTACACCAGCTTCTGCAACTTCCATCAGAAGTGGACCGAGGTGACTCCTGAACAGAGAGCCGGTGTCCAAATGCAGTATAGCCAAGGATGTAAGTGTAAGATCGGATTTTGCTTCGCAAACTGTGGTGGCCTTCTACTTGGCTGTGATGGATTTGACCCCCACTGGATGTGCAGAGCAAAATATCATCGGTGCTACAGTTATCGTGATCAAAATGGCGTCGAAAAATGTGGCTGGCGAGGAAGAGGACAAGGACTTTTCCAGCAGTGTGCTCGCCGAGGATACGGCTTCCCATGAGTAACTTAACAGTTTTACAAAACTCTTTTTTTTGATACCTTCCAATTCAAACACGTTCTCTGATCGGACGTGAACGTATCACGTGCTGAGGACCAAAATCACCAACTCGTAAGGGAAACCACAACTTGAACTTTCGACCGGTATGTGATCAGGTCATACACCGTGAAACCGCGCCAAATCTATGTGTCAGTCCGCCTCAAGAAAATAAATACAGCAAAAGGAAACTAATACAAAATTTATTTTTAATTGTTAGGTAGTTGTGACGTGTTGTAATATGTTACATGTAGTGTTTCTCGTTTGAATCCTTAGGTAACGGGATGATCATTTAATTAAATATTTTTAACCTCGAGTTCAGCTCTGTCTTCTTTGTTTTGATGTGTTTTTCCTTTGCTAAGTGATCCTTAAATTGCGTTTCAGAAGATGGGGAAAGAGAAACTCCACTTCACAATAAATACTTGCTCCAAACATCTGATCTTCGGAGCCGTTGTCTCCTTAACTCTTTAACTCCCCAAATCTTATTAGAAATTCTCCTTACTGTCTGTCGTACAATTCTCATGATGTCAATTTGGAGAATTTGGTATTGGATCAACTATTAATCCCCGAATTTATATTTTTCTTTATTCTCATCACTTCTATGCTTGATATTGTATCGATATTGTAAGGAGAAATTCTCTCTTGGTCACTCATGGGAGTTAAAAGGTTAACGAGGCAATGAAATGCCTTCCAGATGAATAATTCCATGAGAGAAGGATCGAGCTATTTTATTAGATAATATTTATGGCGTTTTCAATGTTATCAAAGATCACTGCATATTATTCAATCGATAAATACGTTGGTGATAAAGCTTTTTTCTCTCTAGGACGGGGCTGGGGGGGGGAGTGCCAACAGTCTTTGTCAGCTAACTTGTCTTGGTTGACCAAATCTGCCTAATTGCGGTTTTATTTGGTTTGGCAAAGAGAACATGTGTTGATGTTCTTTTGTCTGAAATAACTAAGACGTTTCGCTCAGTAAGTCTAACGTTGCACTGCGAAATGTTTTCTGACATACTGAATATATACTGAGGGCTCTTCTCTACTGAGTTCTCTCCCAGTAGGAGTAAGAAAACGCCAAATTGGAACTGGTCAATTATGGATGCTAAATATATGTATAATAGATAACAGCTTGCGCAGGGAAACTGCGGATGTTTTCAGCATGCATAATCTAATTTCCTTTCATTTGGCTCAAGGAGAGTCCGAGACTTGGCAAAATAAAACGAATGCGTATTGCTATTTTTGATTAGTTAAATACTCCTAAGAAATATGGTCCCTTTCACTCCGACGATCTAAATATCAACTCTTGGCTCAGAGAATTTGGTGTTGTATCTAAGATTATCATACAGTTGATATTTTTCCTTTTTGTCTCATCGCCTTTCTGACTGAAAAAGCATCAATGCTGTAAGGAAGAATTCATTTTGGTTTCTCGTGGGAATGAAAGGGTTAATCATCCTGGCAGCAGTTGTTGGTAATGAGACCAACAGCGATTACACGAAGTTGAAATCAACAAAGAATTCGCCTCTACAATCCCGTAAAATACTACAAGGATAGATAAAGGCTACAAATCAGTGGAAGGAAGTCGATGAAGCTCGTCTAATGCTCGCTTGACTTCCTCGATATCTGTCAAAGGAAGAAAAGAAAGAGACATTGTGAAACTCACACATAAAAGTATGACCAAACAGAATATTTAGGTGTAAATTCTCGAAGTTACACAGTTTTTACCACCTTTAAAGTCTATTGAGAAAAATTAGAGAAGCAAAGGTCTAGTGAGGAAAGGAAGGGGGAAAGGGGGAGGGGGTGTATACGACAGTTTTATACTCTTAGGGGGGAGGGGGGTGTTGATGACAGTTTTATATCGAAAGAGGAAAGGTCCTAGATTTGCCAATCAAAGTGAGAGGTAACGTCTGTTTGCGAGACTAAACCGCAAAGTGACCATGTTGTTACCTCTGCTTCTGGATAAAATTATATCCCTTTACAGGCTCCCTCTGCATTTCATGAAGTTTCTCAGGTTCCCATTTATACTCCTGGGTGGGGAAAGGTGATGTGGGAGGATCGTTTCTTCCCCAACAACACCACAAAATGACCTTGAATTGCGACACCCCATTTCTAACAAGTACAAACCTCGATCCCGCTGTTCAGGAGACCTTGCTTCCGCTTCAGGTTCGACATCTGACGGGAGAGCCGTTGACAAGGAACCTTTAAGAAAGGAAAATATTAAGGTAAGAATCAATTCACTGTAAACAGTTTGTAATTCGGAACAGATGCTTGTTATCAACCAGCTAACTTTGTATCTCCGCACTGTTTCGCCTCCTTTCGCCACGTTCGATGTACACGGGTGGAGTTGATGTTTCCGAACATACTGAAAATGAAAATAACAGTAAAGTTCATTTAAGCTTTTAATCTATGACCGCGGAAGAAGATGAGAAATGAAAATAATAAAGGAAAACAAGAAAAGCGAAGAAAATGAGGAAAAATTCGCTTGTGTAAAACTGGTTGTTGTTGGCTTTAGCCTCGGTCAAATGCGCTATGAGTCTTCGTTTTCGTCAAAGCCAAAACGAAGCCAGATATTTCCCACCACAATAACGATACCATTTTGTTTTCACGCGCCCGCCATAATGCGTTTCGAACATATTCTACATAGCGGAAACCTGTGATGAAGGCGGCTGATATGTAGTATATTTTTGCCACTGCTTTTCCAAGCAGTGAAATGATTTCACTATTTATCTCACTGGGAAGATCTGGGAACGAGATGAGCGTGATATGTTAAAATCACATACCAAGACGTTCAAGACAGTTTTCCAACCGCTGACTGGTATGTATCGGTTCAATCTCCTCTCGGGGACTTGCTGCAGTAATAGTTAGCATCGGACCTTTAAGATCAAAAATATTGTTGAAGATGACACACCTACTTTACAGTTAAAATAACAATTATATAGGTATTCATTACTGGCACTACTATGCTGTTTCCATAGCGTGATATCCGCAGGAAGAGATGTTTTTTCTCCAATTGCATGTAATATGTCTGAAAGCCTTTTTTTCGCTTGTTTGTGGTCGTTTGATGGCCATTTAGATCATTTAATGCTGTACATAAACCCACAACACTTCATCAAGAGTAAAGTCTAGAGCGCGCTATCATGTTGGGTTTTGCATCATACCTTCATTGGAGTCTTTTGAGCTCATAGACCCTGTAGCTATCAGCAGGGGAACCAAAATGCAGGAACCAAAGGTTGCTGGGAAGGCAACGCGCAGATATTCACCGACTGATCTGGTTTACAAGAAATAATAGTTTGTATATTATGATAAATTTCGGAAATAGACACTAGGAGCAACCCACGAAAAGTTCAGTTCTAAAATGTGGTTGGTGGGTTATGATTTGTAAATAGACATATTCAATTATAAATAGGCAAAAAGTTAAAGAAGGCCTTAACCCTTTATCTCCCGAGAGTGACCAAGACATAATTTCTCCTTACAATATCAAGACAATATCAAGTAGACAAGTGATGAGAATATATGAAAATATGAATTATTGGTCGATCCAATATTAAATTCTCCAAACTAACGACGTAAGAATTGTATGGATGATAGTAAGGAGAATTACTAATGAGATCTTAACAGTGAAAGGTTGTCAAAAAGCACTAGTAAAGAACAAATATCGACACTTTAAACAGCAGATTTGTAGCCGTCATGAATTGAAAGGAAGGAAGAAGTGACGCAAAAAGGGAGGAAAATGGCCAAACATGATGGAGAAAACGCCGACAAAATATTTTAGAATTCAAAGAGGAAGGAAAGAATGGAAAAGAACGAAACAAGACGGAATGAGACCGGTGACAAATTCTTCTTTCCTCTATCTTGAGGACTGCTTCAACACTCTTGTAATTTACGCCCTCTCCACAAATTTTCCAAATTAATTTGGGAAGTTGTTAGTTGCTTACTTGTCTTTGTTCCCGGGAAAAGATGTTTGGACTGCGAGCACAATCCCTCCAAGAAGAACCCTTTCCGTGCATTCAAAAATTAGAGAAACGAATGTAACCGCTTCCTGAAAAGAAATAGAATTCGTAGCTAACAGTTTCTTTAGGTCGCCGTTTAAACTTTTTAAACATCTGTTTTCATCTTCTCCACTAAGCCATCCTTTTACTCGTTTGATGATTAATCACGTCTTTAGAGAATCTCTTTCAAATTCAGTGAGTATTTCTAAGGGACAGAGGAGGGGGGGGGGGGAGGTTTGGAGGATTTCAGTTATGTCACAATGAGATTTACCTTCCCCCCATTGGGCTCTGTAATATTCATGTGGCCACTATCATTGGCAGTTAATTGGAAGTCAATTTTCTATATCCCCCCTTTAAACTCCGTTTGTGACGACTGATCCCCTCCCTCCGTCCCCCCTGAAAACCATGTGATTCCCCCCTCCCCAAAGTGATAAAGAGTGAATGATCCTTTACTAACAAATATACAGAAGCAACTCTCTGTGATGTCGAAATTTCTAAAAAATTGCTCATCTAACAGCTAATCGAGTGAAATGTCTTCTTTCTCCTGGAAAACGAAACTGGTATGACTAAACAGAGTAATTTAAGCCTATTAAACTTTCGAGACAAAAAAGAGGTCTCCGTTTTATCGTGATTTAAAAGGGTTCGCTTACCTTGCTATTTCCAGTGATGTGATACTGAAGTGTCGGCGTTACCATGGTGATAAGCGAGGACATTCCGGCAAAAATGATCGTGGGCACATAAACAGAGGAGGTTTTAGATGCTGACTGTACGAAAAACCATAGGCTGGTACCAAATATTGCAAAAGTTGTGCACAAGATTATAACCTGTGGGAAAAAAGAGAAAATAAACGGAACTGAGGTCACGGAACCGCCGATAAAAAAAAGTGTCTTGCTAGGTGTTTTGCCGTCATTCTATTTCAGTATTCATGCATAACCAAGATAGTATATCTCCTTTTTTCTTCACATAAAAACACGCAGTGCGCACAATTCCCCTACTCGTACTGACAGAGGGCTAACGCTCGAAATATCTGCTAAAGAGACTCTCTATGGCGACCAATTTACATTATCAGCTGAGTTAATAAACTTAATTATCTTGAAATATCCCCACCGACGGAGCCCTGCAGTTTCTTTAGAAACTCCTCCCCCCCTTTATCCTAGCGATGCCTTTTTATATAAGCTGCTCTGCGTAAATTATGAATTAATATGTTCTGATTCGGAATTAAAGTCTCAATTGACCCCGAAGTACACATAACTATTGATTCGTTGAAAGTCAGAATCATCACGGCACACCCTATAATATGTGAGAACCGGGCTGTGACCGTATGCGAAATGGCATGAGGCTCTCTCAGACGAGTGATGAGAACAAAGAGAGATTTACCCTCGGTGTCATTGTAAGTCTATCTGTGAAGCTTCTACAAGTTAGTTCGGTCGCAATACGACTGATCACAATAATGAGGGGGAAAAAGGCAACAGATTCCTACAACAAAGAAAGGTAGAAGCAAATACATGACTGAAATATATTTTCATTTACATCAGAGGACTTAAAGAGAGATTCCTTGGTTGAATTCCTAATTAATTTTTTTATTATCCAACGGATAAAACTGTTGGTTTTTCATCAAATGCTGGTGCAGGGTTTTATCCATAATTCTCTACTCCTTCACCTGCCAGCAAAGTTGAATCGTTTTCCACTCCCCTATTGTAGCTCGATAGCAAACATAACATCATAATTTCTCACTCTACAGTCGCTTGTTTCGTCCTCAATAAGATACATGAAAAAATTACTCAGTTCTGATTGGTTAGGATAAATGCAGTTTTCAATTAATTCAATGCAGAAGGGAGCTAATTCAGTGCAAAGAAGTAACAAACCAGACTGAACAATTCCTTGAACTGTTTAGCCTGACTTTGAACTTTTTTGCACCTTGAAGATGTGAAAATATCATTGTATATTATTGTTTTGATCGTGCGCGGTTGTTTTGACCGAACGCGCAATGTCACTTGTTGGGTTTGAATAAATTATTTTTACACTTGATGCGTGCGCTTTTCTTCTGCATAATTATGATAATATCTCGTATTTCTTCATGTATATTATTAATACGTAATCACATAATTTTTTCCTGTAATTTGGAATAAATAAGCACGAGTAAATTTTTTCAAAGACCACAAATTTACTCGTGCTTATTTATTCCAAATTGCACTCGAAGTCATGTGATTACTTATACAAATACCTTCATTTTGTAGAATAATGCAGCAAATGACGATGTAATGTGCGTTTAAATTGAAGAACTTTTCTACTGAGTTTCGTTAAGACAAAATCAAAGTAATCACAACAGCCATTCAGAGAAAAAGAAGATACCCTGTGGGGCGGATGAGGACTCAAAGTAAAGACACCCAAACTGCCTAAAGCGCTTTAAAAACACGGGCGAACAATGCAAGTCGTGATTGGTGTTAGTTTTGCATCCAATTGGATAAATTACGAGAGAGGCACGAGTTTCCTGGACCGATTACAAAACGAAATAACACAAAACTAATGAATGCAATGCCAGATCACTTTCAATACAATTGAAAATTGTTCTATGGCCTTAACAATATAACTGTTACGACACTTTTTGCTTACTTTTCGTAAGTTTAGCGTTTCGACGACATACAGCGGAAGGTATGACTGAACGATCCGAAATGTGATGTTGGAAAAAACGACGATACAACCAACCTATAATGAAGGAAAGAAGGAAAACGATAATCGAATAGTTTACGGAATAAAGGAAATCTAATGAAAGAAAAAACACCGTGTATTGACGTGTTTGATCAAGAAGGCTAACGAAATGTTAACCACGTCCTTCCGTATATTTTTAGTTAGTGAAAGAAGTGAATAAAACCTTTATTTAAACGCGATAAAGATAAAATTACAAAGCTTGTGTACTCGTGTGAATACGGATAAAAGTTGAAATAAAACAAATAATCAGGATAAAATAGGTGTAGCATTTTAAGCAAAGTTGAGTATATTAAAGCTAAAATGAATATAGAATTTGGAAACTGGTATTTCAACCCCTTTAATCATGTCTTTTGAGATCAAAAATTTTTGTGTCTGAGACACTTAAGCAGATTAATTTCTACCACTGAATTAATGGATCCAGATGATAGAGAATTCATTCTTTAAATTGACTAGATATTTCATGAGGGAAAGTAGTATAAACGATAACGCTTCTGGTGAACTGTAAAGTGAAATCTCAGATTTTTACTTACCTTATATAACGAAGGTTCTTTCAGCCATTCGAACCAAGTTAATTTTGGCCCCTCTCTCATTCCTGTCGGTTCGTTGTTCACTATCGTTGTTCGAGAAGTTACGTCTGCAGTTGATCTCCCACAGTTTTTCTCTACATTAAAAAACAAAAACGAATCAAAAAAACAAACAAATAAGGAAACTAATGAGTATATGGAGTTACAATGGAGCAATTAAACAGTTATTATTACCCAATGCTCTTTGCGCACAAAAAAATTTTGTGCAACTCTCACTAAGAACGAAAGTTCGCAAAAATTCTTTCAGTATAAAACTCAGCGTCAAAAATATTATTGGTGTAATCACGTTTACATGAATCTTCCGTACAATTACTAGCCCCCTTTCCAAAATGTATTGACTGTTCGGCACTGAATAGATTTTCATAGAGTCTTTCGTAAACCACGAATATTTAAAGGCTATATTTGGTAAACTATGAAATTTTAGGGGGAGGGGGAGTGGCAAAGGTTAGCCTCTTGCTCAGAGGGAATAACAATATAATTGGTATGTCCAGGTGTGCGCGTTGAGGGCCTGTAAACCGGTACATTCTGTGCTCCAGACCCCCAGCGAGAGTTTCAGTAGGTAAAGTGCAAGTACCTTCATCAAGCTTTCCTTCATCTGTCTGAGGTCTGGGCTCTAGCACCGTTAAATGGAAAGCGAAGACGAATAGAAAGCCAACCGGAAGTAGAATGATCGCAAAACGCTAAAGAATAAAATGATCATGATTCATATCAAAAAATGTTTGCTTGAAGCCATTTAGTGAATAAAATTCTTATCATCCTGTAAATCTCATAACCTCATAACGTTTCACTGATAAAGCTTTAATCTAAATTCCACTTTAGTTTTAAGGGTAATACTTACCGTAAATTGCTCGCTAACATTTGAATTCATTTTACTTTCCGTACTCTCTTGAAGCAGAATCCACAGTAAGATATAGAGACACACCTTGCAAACGCGGACAATGGATCTATGAAAATGCAATTTAAATCCATGACAGTCTAAATAAAGTGGGTTTACAGGAATTTGAAACGGTAAAGTCCCTTCAACGCTACGTCAGATAAAGTTTAAAAAGGCGGGCTCTCTCTCAAAATGTAATCAAAGTATTCTGTCCGCACTAGAAAGTGTATGTTATGTTCTTTGTCCACACTACAACGATCACTGGTGGCAGAAACACCTAGATTCATCACAGAGCGAGTGCATAATAGAGGCCCTATTTTCCCGCCCCAAGATTCACCAAGCAGTCACATCATCGTTTTCAAAAACCTCCGTTTTCCGATGACAACTTCTCGTTTTTAGCATAGACAAGCGGCTTGAATGGAACATGCACAAAAAAGATCTATTGTATCTCTTCGCATTGAAAACTGTCGAAGCTTGTTCGACTTTGTAAAAGAGTTCATCAAGAATAAGTCTTTGAGATGTCACCGGGCGACATCCATGAGCTCCAGCTGTTTATTGAAACTGTGTCAATTATGGGATGCGGAATGATCAGTAATCACATTTTTCAAAACAAAGCTCTTAGATTTTTCCGAGAAAAAAATATTAGGAAAGCTAGACAAGAATGTTTTGGCATGCCACCAAAGGAATTACAATACTGTACTTGATTCACGAGGCTTTAAAATGGATAAGATTTGAATTTGTCTCTCAAATTAGGGCCGATAAAAAGTAGTTTGTATAATTTCAACAGTGCGTGCTGTTTGAGATACTTATTATTAAAAATTATGTTTATAAACCCGAGAATTTGTCACCAACATACCTTGACGCTTCGGTATCTTTGCCGTTTTCCTCTCGTATTTCAGTCATAAGTGAATAGTAACTGTCTTCAGCAAGTGGCCAAGAGATCGAAAACAAAGCCACAGATAGCAGATAGTAAGCCCCTAACGTAACATTCGAGCTATTATTTTCACAAAACAAGCACGGTATAAAGATGAAAGGCCACGAGAACAGCACACCGGCTGATCCAATAATATGCCATGCTTTTCGTTTTCCATACGGGGAAAAATACTTCCATAAGCGTTTCTCGCGGCCCAAAGTAATCAAAAGCGAACTTCCTGCCATTAGTGTTTGAGAAATGAAGAAAATGATGCCAACGCTGACGGCGGACAAACCAGCAACATGTTGAAAATAGAGCAATGCATAGCTATACCACACGCTCGACGTAAGGTTATTCAGTATATGACCTGTCTTACAGGCGATACGGTTTCTGATAGACCCTGAATCGGCATCAGCGCATGGATAAGTTTCCTCAATGATGTCATCTGCGCCATTGTTACTCGACGCAACTGTAATATCACGAGAGCTTTCCATGCTTCATAGTGCCAGGTTTCTTCGGCTTTATGACGGCAAAAATTATCAGATTTATAGCCTCCGTTTTACAGAACAGAATTGATTACGTGCTCCAGCATTTAACAGGAAATGAAAATCATTTTATCTTTGTGGCTCGGCTGTTGAAAACTGTTCATAATATCTTGGTGGGATCACAACAACTATCAGTCCTCCATTTACTGACGTAGGTTTGAGTCGCCAAGGGAAGTCCAAGAATAGTTTCTCGAATTTCTTAGCGGGATCTCAATAATATAATCAGTACATTGGCTTAGCTATGACCAACACTTGTTAAGATTTTGTTGTTGGACGAAAACACGTTTGCGAGAAAGTCTCATGTCTTTGCGATTGGAAACCGCACTAGACAGAAAAAAAATACCAAATCAATTTTCTACCTCTGTTTGCGAGTGGTTAGAAAACTTCTCATTCAATTTGCTCCAAGAGTTTTGCGGTATATGAAATATTTACTTTGCAGACGCTAATTAAGTTATTTTCGATGAGTTGTTTTGGTAAATTATATTTCTTTTTTACAATACTATTCAAGCTTCCACTAGTTTCATTACCAATTGATTTTTTTTCTCTCAGTTTTGGGCATTTTGTATATAAAGTTCTATGAAAAATTTCTTAGAATGCTAGAATTTCAGCATATTTATCCACGTCAATCATGTAAACTTTAAAAATATACGAAACGAAGCGAAGCCAGTCAGTTGGAGGGACTGATTGTTTTGATTTACAATTCGATTTGCAGCAGTGTTTACGAAGCAAAATGAAAAGCGAAAATGAGAGAAAAAAGGTAAAATTGATCAGGATGTAACCGTAGCTTACCATAAATTTTGCTGAATGTTTTTCTGCCTAACAATCCCGTTAAATAAAAAAATTACTACCTTTGCATATTTGGAATCATAATTCTATTTAAATTTACTAACAAACTTTAATTTGGTTAATATTTCCGTTCCAAAAAGTTCGATTCAATCGTTAGTTTTAGTCATCGGTGTCTAAGTTTCTCGGGCCAGCGAAGGAAATTTTCTTAAATTACCTTCTATGATGTTTTTTATTTCTTTCAATACTCGCTTTGAAACTGAATAATTGCTCTTGTTTCGCATTCATTATTCATCATTCCATGGAGCATTCCAACAAATTTTCAAGTTAGCTTGTTAAAATTAGAGCTCTTTCTCTTCAAAGCACAAAGCGTTCAAATAATTATAAATAATCGAGTTTTTCATCGTCGAAGACCTTTTTCAAAGAACTGCAAAAATTCATAAGTGGTTGAGTTTGAAACTGTTCAGCTTTCTTGGGTCAAAATGTTACTGAGATAGCTCAAGTATAATGAAGTTTTTCCAAAGATGCGTTGTGTAACTGAGTTCAAATAGTTTAAAAAAAATTCGTCATTTCAGCTTGCCAAAATATCACGACATGTCGCAGTTGTATTTGTTCCCTCAAATATACTAATTGTTATCAAAATTACATTTATCTAGTTTCGTTCTGTTTCATATTTGTTCCTCAGTCGGAATAAATATCTCTTGCTATGTGTAACGTTTTTAAAAGTATGTAGTACCCCCATTGATCTATTAATCCACCATTTTGATTATTTGTCTGTTTTTGAAAGAGACTTGTGATCATCGTGTCATTGTAATGGCTAAAATTGCTTACTCTTGCCGAACATTATATAAGATATAACTTAAGAAGCTCTTGGTGGTCTTTCAAGGCAATATAACCGCATTAAAATATAAAGTAAATAAGGAAGCGAACTTTTGTAATAATTTCTTTGATGAGCGTAAGCACACTAAAATAAATTTGGAAGAAAATGCATATAAAGTTCTAAAATACGCAGACATAAAAATTATACCGTTAATTAATTATGCTCATGCGCAACAATTTTGTGGCTTTCGCTCGCTGTCGAGCTTTACTTGACTTCTCTCGTATCATTTTCGAATGAACCATTATGCCAGTTAACGTTACAATTGATCGAGTTTGCTTTCCAGTTGTTACTCTCTTAGTGGTGACGGTGATTATTGAAGAAATACCGATACGTGGCTTTACCAAAAAAAAAGTCAAAACCAGTAAAACGGGGATTATTTCACAGGCCGACCGGTACTCAGTTGTTTTCTGTCATACTCCAAAGTTTTTTTTTTCCAACATTAACCGAAAGGATTCCGTGAGCAGGCTATACAATTATCTACTCTCTTGTATTTTTAAGTGGGTAAAAACTTATAGCATTTCTCTAAACTTGTAAGTATGTATGGCGCCTGTAGAGTAACGAGAAGCCCTCTAATAAGCCAATTAAATGATGTGGTCGCTAATCGTGATGACGTCACGGTGTCGCTACGAAAAGAAACACGGTAATTTTGTGAGAATCATTATTAGATTATTTCGAACTTTCCTTAGATTTCGAAAGAAAAGTGATGTCGTTCGTTTTGTTATTTCTAGCTCTTCTTCATGTATTTGTTCGATTTCAAGCTATCAAAAGATTGTTGCCTTGACAACCGACGAAGACCCCTGCACAAATTGAAGTTAAAAGGGTTGATTTAATGATTCAAATAAAATTTTTTTTTTAAGGTTTTCTTAAGTAGTTTGGAAGAGCCAGTGAATTATCTACTGAAAATTGTGTAACTCGTTTCAAATGTTTCGCTTATCGGAGGAAAGAAAAACGTTCTGAAATTAAATTATGCAAAATGTATAGAATTTTCAAGAGTTCAAAAGTTGCCATTTTTGAAATTGAGTCAGCATACAAAAAATACACGAATCAAATCAGAGAAAACCAAAAAGGAATGAAATGCAACTTAGCACAGCAACCAAGTTCACTAACTGAGGACCGGGAAATGGAATCGATTTCACTTTTCATACAAGCTAAATGGCAAAAAGATACATAAATACAAATATTGTTGTTTGCTTTGTTTTCGATTGGAAGTTTCTTTTAAGCTGCCACTCTCTAATGGCGACATTAATGTTTGGAAAAATACCGATTCGTTGATTTTCTTCGAAAGAATTTAACACACGCTACACAAGAGCGCCTCATTCCACCGTAAAGGGTTTTATTCACAGGCCAGGCGACAAGCCTGCATATGATTTGCATCACGCTCAAATTAAGGCTTTTTACAGATATTAACCAAAATGGTTGCACGAGTAGGCAGTTAAATGATAAGTTTCTATGTCGTTTTTATTTTAATGAAAATGTCTACTTTTAAAAATGAACGCATTAGCGTAGGTGGAACCTGAAGAATAATATGTAGTACTGGCACGTCCGAGGTCTGCTCCTCAATCACCCAAATTAATATGATTCATTAGCCATCCTTAGTGACGCCACGGTCTTGTAGCAAAAACAAAACACCGAATTTTTTGGAGGGGACTGCAGTTGCTTTGTAGTCTTTCTTAAACTAAAAATAAAGATTTTAGTTAGTTGTTTAGATCTGGTTTGCTCGTGTTCACAGAGTTGATCAGTTCTCGATCAGTCATAAACAGATCGTTGTCTAGACAACAAAGAACGTTGTTAGAAGTGGAGCTAAACGGATGACTTAAGTGATTCAAAATTAGTTTTCTTTTCTGTGAGTTGTTTTGAAGGACAAATGCAAGAATTATAAAATCAATCATGTATATTGTTTCAGAAGTATAATTTTCATAGATCACGAAAAAGTAATGTTTATATAGTAAAAAAAATTTTGAGCAACTTGTAGTTAGCCCTACTAAACCATAGCTTGCCGACTAAATGCGAAGAAATTTATAACAAATAACATACAACTCAGCACAGTAACCAAGTTTCTTAATCGACTTCCTCGGTACAAAAAAGAAAGAAGAAATGGATAAATAATTGAAAGTAATTATCTTCATTGAAAACACTTACATGAGAAAGTAAACACTAAAAACAAGCAATAGAGACCAGTATCCTTTATCAAATTTCATATTTTAAATTGCGTAAATGACCAATACTAGGGCATTACGATTCATCAGTTGAGTCTTGCAGGCAAGTTCTCCAGAACAAGTCAGGTAAGTTAATCTCAAGACAAGCTCATCGTTCAAGTCTCGCAGAACTTGCTAAGCTGATATTACAAGAAACAGTGGTTTCTTTTCCTCTTGTTCCATTTTTTCCATCAGCTTCTCGCGCAGTTCACAATTCCGTCAAACAAAGAAAACTGTGCTCTTTTTCCATAGAAAAAGACGGCAGAAATGGTTTCCATTCTCTCTTATGCGACATTGATTTTGTGCACTGTGGCCCTTAGCGAGTCGTGCAGTTGCGCTAAGACAACTCACATGGCGATTTTATGCAGAGATGACTTCGGTGAGTTGCTACCTCAATAATTTAAAAAGTTTTGATTTCCAATTCACTTAGTCAATAATTTCTGCTTTTATTCCGGGTAACCTGTCCTTTTTCTCTTAAACTCTAACAAGTAATTAAGATATAACTTCTTCCTATGACATCCATTCGTTCCCTGGGGAACGGGTAACGAGAATACTTAAACTGATCACGTACAAGTTGTCATCGTGATCTTAAACCAAATTCTCGTATCTAATTTACAATGAAATGTATACCAACGAGAGAGGAGAAGTAACAATCAGTTCCTTCCAGCCACGCCCTTGTCTCCTGAACATGCAGCAAACCACTGAAACTTCGGGCATTACGACATAACGAGACTAGGTTCGATATTTTTGAACCGCTGGCCAGAAAAAAAAAGTAGCGGAACTATATCGAGGCTTGTGGTAAACTTTCCGCTTAAAATGAAATAGAAATGAGCAAATAAAGTTTTCTTTTAAAGTCTGACTTTTTCTAGTTGCGATAAAAGACTCCGTAGAAAGGAAGTTTAATAATATGAGTTTGTCGTTACGCACAGTTTCTTCTGGCAGTGGCAATTTACGAGCCGGCCTTGACTTCGTGAACCGTCAAATCGAGGACTGATCATGTTAAGAGGTAATCATGACATTTCAAGTCGAAGGCAAGAAAAAAGTGCAGGATCGCGCAAAGGTTAAAAAAGGTCCGCACTGCGTACGTGTGTCTAATCCAAATTAAAATGAATGTATTATCACAAAACAACATGCTAACAGTCGTACTGCACTCGCAGTCTATTTGGTAGGTATGTTCAATATATATCAATGGGTGTATTGGTGTACCAAAGTTCGGTATTTTTCAGGGAATTGTTTGGATAAACTATGTGACGATGAAACTATGAGATCCGAGTTTTCTAAGCAAGTCGATCCTCGAGAGAGTTTCTCAACTTAACAGATCATGACTGCCGAAGGAAAAAATTGTGCAAATATTAACGCAATAGCAGATACAACTAAACTTGAAATAAGTTTTTGGAAACATGGGAACAGAAAAAAGGAAAAATTTAACCCGAAGATTTCCGTAAAATATTTAATTCTGTCAAACATAGATAGGTACAATTTGGGTACAATTCGCGACGAAATTCCAATCATTTTGAGGCGTTACTATTTTAAACTTACAAAATAAAATGGAGACCAAAACGAACACAAAGAATCGTAAATTAAAACGTATGGAAAACACAAATTACGCAATGTTTTTAGCAGCTGAAAGGTAGATACTCGTGCAAGAAGTAAAGTCGTGAAATCTGTTAACACATACACTGGTCGTCTAGCTCTGACTGTGTGTCGATTAAAGGAAAAGTGAAAATGCACAAAGTACAAAAGGTAAATTATAAAGGTGAAATGTGTGGTGCGTATGATCGGAAATGTATTCAGTATCAATAACTTATAAAATACTGGTGTACTCTCCGAAATAACCACGCCTCGCTTCTTCAGGCCCTTCTTAAGATACGACAATTTAAAAAACGCATGTTTTTTCTACGACGATAAGTTTTCTCGAAATGTTTGCTCTTTCGAATTCAATCGGTCCCGAATATCTCTCTGTCACAAGGAGTTACGCTCACCAAATAGGGATTTCCGACAGATCTTACGACAAAATAGCCAAGTGGTTCCACCCAATCACTGGATGCGCATTCTTGTCATATTATGTTACGCGATGATCGCTCACTTCATTTAACCTGTCACTTACGGTAACTTCACAGAAACCATAACACCAATACGTCATTTGTTGTCTTACATGAGGCACCTATTGAATCTCCTACCGCTTTTGCAAGGTGTCTAGCTGCTACGCTCTAGACAAAAAAAACCGCTCCTAGAGAAAAAAAGTAATACAGATGGTGAATTTATCGGTATATCATTTAAAGGATGATTCTGCAAAATGTTTTGGGAGACCAAACGAAGGCTATCATAATAATTCAGCTGTCATTTTGCCGTGCATTGATATCGTTGAATGTATAGGAAATTGTTATTGAGACAAATCAGCATTTTTAACACGGAGCTTTTGTCTTCACTTAACAGCCATCAGAGCTAAGGTTACTCAAGTCACAGATTTGGGAAGCCGGAAAATCTATACACTCGACATAAAAAATATTTTCAAAGAAGGTGCCCAGTTCTATAAAGTGACGCCTACGATGGCGACCATTCAAGGGCCTGTGCGGAGTGGTACAGCTTGGACAAGGACAGATGGTTGTGGAATAGACCTTGAATTGGGTAATGTTTACCTCTTAACGGGTAAAATAGAAAAAAGCGAAGATGCAGACCTTCACATTACCCGATGTGGCTGGAATGTGGAATTTCAAAATGTAAGCAAGAACAAACAGAAAACACTGGAAAATTATTACAAGAAAGAACAGGAAAAATGTTGAATGAGCAAAAGTGAAATATGCTTCGCTCTAGAGTTGTTAATCAATATTTTATCAAGGCAAAAGGCGATAGAAATAAAGAATAATTATTAATCAGTGAGATTTTGTGTTTAGTTCATTTTCTCTGGAGTAAGTTGGACATAGCACCGCATATAGAATCGCAAATGATGTAGATAATTTTGGATCCTTCTTACCGATGGCGATTGAGGAATTCCTAAAACAAACTGGCTCCTTCACAGCCCCGCACCAACTTTTTAAAAAGTAGAGTCTGATTTTGAATGAAATCATAGGTCAAATATAAACGCTACATACTCGTCTCACTAAAATGAGTTAATTTTTCAGGCCAAGGTAATAATTGAGGATTTAGTTTATATCGCATGAAAATGTTCATTACGCATGTCAAAAGCATTATAGAGGTAGATTGGATGCTCATACGCTTCGAAAACTATTATTATTCCTCACACAAACCAGAGAGGTACCTTGAGCTGACATACCATTCAGGCTTTTGGTCCCAGCCATAGCAATAGCACGTACCCCCTCCTGA